GTTCTTCAGGGATTGAGAATGTCCAAAATACTTACATTACTTACTTACAGTAACTTAACGTTCGTAAAGGAGTGAAGGATGTCATCCGCATGATCCAAGCAAGGTTTCATCAGATGTAGTTAAAAAATACCCCCGCTGCAGCAAACCTGCCGACCAAGCGAATTTCCATTTGCCTGAGCGTTGATTTTCAATTATACTATTATAAATTAACATTTGTTTAACGAGTAACTAGGTTAGCTGCTACAGGAAAACTAATAAAGTGGGTTAAAAAAAAAAAATATATCAATAGCTTAGTATGAAATAAATAAATCTGCTAAGTTTATCAAAATAAATCCATAAACAAGCCAACAACATTTTACAATATTGTCCATAAGAATAACATGGGAATTTTAAATTACAATTTTTTTGAATTTTCTCCGTAACCATTCACCGTAAAAAAACACTTTGATATACCGGTACTAAATTATTTGTTTTTTAAGCTCTTTAAAAGGGTCTTGAGAAAAATTGACAAATTTTGCGTTTTAAAGGTTAAAAATAGAAAACCCCATTTTACCCCCCGTTAAATCCCGTTCCCATGGTCCGATCATGCTGGTTTGCGAAGTCATTGAAGTTTATCCCGCCTTACACCTTCAAACCAAATTTTATCAAAATCGGACAAAAATTACCCAAGTTATCGTCCGGACGGACATATATATACATATATAAAAATTTGAACGAATGGTGTTTTTGGCCTCTAGGGACATCAAAATGAAAAAGTAAATCGGTCCCGCTGAGACCTACGGTAATAGCTACTTCCCTATAGGGAAAATCGCTAAAAGGACTGTTTAGTTCAATCTTGTGAATGTGAGTCGATAATAAAATGCAATTCTAAATGCCATAGCAGCACATATTGTCATGACAAGTGAAATACAAAAGTAACAAGAACTGTGTAATGACATTAACACTGTTATTTTTAGGGGGGGGGGGGGAATTATTTCAATGCCTTTGTAAATAACAACTAAACAGTAAACTAGTTATACAACCAGTCAAGAAAAAAAATCATAAAATGAACCCTAAAATAATAGAAACAAAATTTCGTTGACACTAGCAATCAGTGTCGCCAGACATGAACTAGACATGATAAACGAGTTTCAAAATTTACAATGGGATGAGAAGTCTTCTTGTGTTGGTTAGTATATGCATGTAGCGTTGTCGACAAGAAGAACTACCGTACTGTCGACGACTTGAGCTGATTGAGCCATTAATATTACCACGGATACATACGTTTCCACGGAAATCTATAAGTATAAAAGAGGATGTTTGTATATATACATATATATATATATATATATATATATATATATATATATATATATATATATATATTTGTTTGGCAGTGATAAACTCAGACACCGCTGAACCGATTGCCACGAAACTTGGTACATACGTGTAAAATTTCATGGAATAGGTTTATACACCATCAATTTCGTGATCCGTCCAATCGGCTCCGCCACAGTGGCTCTGGAGTTTCCCATGTTAACCTTATGAGAAATGGAATTAATGAATCTTAACAGCTGTTTCAATTAAACAAGTTGGTTCTGTTCTATGATGTTCAATAGCATTAAAGTTACAAGGATTACCAACAGGGTGCAGCACTATTATTTCTTTTACATTTATGACAACAGCTAATTTGCAACCAAAAGGTGAGTGAGCATAGCGAACGAACTTCAACCTGGAGGTGGGTTAGCGTAGTGAACGAGCTAACCTGAAGGCAAGTGAGCGTAGCGAACGTTCTAACCTGAAGGCAAGTGAGCGCAGCGAACGAGCTCCAACCTAAAGGTGAGTGAGCGTAGCGAACGAACTTCAACCAGGACGTGATTGAGCCATGCGAACGATATCATCTTGAAAATACTGTCATTAATAACCATGAATGAAAATAACCATTAATAATTAAGCTAGCATAACCTAGCATCAATATTAAAGCAATAATAAAGAATCGGTTATCCTTTGTACTATATGTGTTTCATTAGTTGTCGTACGTATTTTAATTTAGTTATAAGCACTTCATATACAATAAGACAATTAAACGTTACGGTACTTAAATTATAAATAGTCAAAGGCAAGACAACGTCTGCCGGGTTCAGCTAGTATACATATAAAACACAAATACATACATACCAATTCGAACAAATAGTGTTTTTGGCCTCTGGGACACAGAAATGAAAAGTAAATCGGTCCCAGATCCAGGTTTTACCAAGTTACTTCCCTATAGAGAAATTCACTAATAAATGAGATAATCGTATGTTGTATTGTATTGATCATTACGGTTTCCCTGAGTTGTTATGCTATAATCTGTAATATATTTTAATAAAAATTGTATCTAGAAAGAGGACTATTTTGTCTACATCTTTGTTCGCTCCGCTAAAATGGCAGACTTGAGACCGAATACAGTACACCATTACAATAGTTAGTAGTCTCATGGTATTATGACCACCGAGCTAGAAATACAACTGGAGGAAGCACTGACACGGAAACTCTGCTAGAAAGTCGAATCAACAAGCTTCAAAGTTTTCTTATGTTGGTACCAATTAATAGACTTCTAATCCAATGTAAAGATTTAAAGCTAAGAAAATAGATTAAGTTCAGGACCATCTCACCACAGTGGTGTATTGGGTTAAATATTTTTTTGCCTTTAATTCTTTATTTAAAACGGTTTTAATAAAAAATACCCCCCCCCGCAGCAAGCCTGCCGACTAAGCGAATTTCCATTTGTTTGAGTTGATTTTCAATCAAAGCATTACAGAAAGAAAGGCGCTTCACATTGCCGAAAACCTAAAGTTTTCATGTCAAACTGACTACGTTGACCGAAAGGTGAATTCCGTCCGGCATCTTCGCTTCGTGTTACGTCACCTTGCTCCTTTCACAGAAAAAAAAAACAGTCCTTCTATCTGCTTACTATGCGGTGGTTTTCACATTTGTTATATGCCGTCACTATCTGGGAATCTGAATCATCTACAACAAAGCATATCTTTGCGCTCCAGAAGGAGGCTGTACGGGTCATTGCTGACATTCGCCGGAGAGAGTATTTGTAGATCAGCTTTCGTCAAATTAAGACTTCTTACTTTCCCATGCATTTGCATTCTCAATCCCTTAACAGTTTTTAAACAAAACCATAGTTTTTTTGAACATTTGATTCCCCAATCCAGTTACAACATTAGAAAAAATTGAAATTGAACCATTCCATACCACAAACCCTCCTTTTTCAAAACCCCCGTTTTTATAATGCCTATAATTTTATAATACTATATAACTCACTGCCTGACAATCTTTAAGTCAGTTAGAGATATTAGGGATTACAAACGTAAACTTAAATTACTTTTTAGAAAATGGTTTTCATAGCGTAAAAGATTATGTAATTAAACAACTCAGCATAAATATGTAGTAATTAATTTTTTTCTGAAATAATGTTGTGTATCTATGTAATTGTATTTTATTTATAAATTATGACAAAAGCCATGCATGTAAACATGTTAACTGGCAATTAAGGAATATGTAATTTTATTTTATATAAATTTCACCTAATGCATCTTTCAATTAATTTGTGCAGCGATACAGGGCTCGTTTATCTGATGGAAACCTCGTTAGATGCTATCTTCTTCGTGCTACTCGTTTTTGTGTTATTATGTCACATATATTACCTTCACTCTCCAGTTCAAAATAAGTCGGTTATGGTGACCTAGGTTTAAATGCAGCGTACCTATGCAGTTTAGGTACTATACAGTACTATCATTTCCTATGGCACACTGTTTGTGTCTTGTGAACTATATAGTCATAACTAAACGACGACAAATAGACTGAACATTTCTGACTGGAACGCTTGATGATAGCACAACGTCGTGCTGAAACCTTAGGTCACGACATAAACGTGTCTCGCAATTCCCTTATTCATGTTACCTCCAATTATTGTATATTCAACTCAGTGATTATGACCAAAATGCAAAGCGCAATCATCAAATCAGCCATAATATGAGAAATAAGACATGTAGTTTACACAATTGTTCAAACGTAACTTACATGAAATCATACATAAAAGATAAAACGTATTATAAAACATACTCCCTGAAGATTTCTCATTGTACTGGAACTGCTAAAGCCAATTTTATTGTTAGTTTTGTCCGGCACACTGTATAGGTCGTGTTTTGTTTACGATTTGTTTCTTGTTATTTCAGTAATTTAAAACCTCGTTTAACCAAATAAAACGATCAAATCATAAACAATAACTAACTCGTCCTCTAGTTATTTTACCAAACAGTAAAGCACAAATCATGAAATTGTCATTAAAATAATAAAAACAAAATTTAGTCGACACTAGTGGTCATAGTGTCACCGGACATGAACTAGACAAGAAAAACGAGCATCAAAAGAATTAACGATGGGATGAGAATTCTACTTGTGTTGGATAATGTATGATGAAACCATTGAAACACACTTAGTAAACCATAAACCATGTGTAGATATTATAATAAGACTTGTACTATCCAAGTCAATGGCACAACCATTAATTGATTATATATCTTGGATTGGTTATGGCAAACATAATAACTAAATCAGTCTTATAGCTGTCATAATCCTTCAATATTTTAGATGTAGTATTTTTTTTCTGTGTCAATAGCAACCTTATTTATTAAGGTTGACGTGTTTATTTTTATTAATAAATGTTTTCTCTTAAAACATTGTATGGAAAATCAGTCCTTTTTATCCTATTTAAAGGTTGTAATAATATTATAGCGTAATAAAGTAGGCATAATATTATTTAGCAGCTCCGTGCTTTTAATCAAAGGCTAACATTTTTCTAACCGTGGTGATGTGCAGTTTCGCAGTTTGTCTGTACTGTGTACTGTGTGTGTAATGATTACCATCAATCTCGAAACAGGAAGTATGTTTTAGAGAGTCTGTAATCAGACTTGTGTCGAATTAAAAATCGTTCGTCATTAAAATTGTTGTTCAACAAATACCCCGACATCATACAAAATTTTAGTTAACCTATACTTCGCGAAAAATAAATATTATTTTAAGAAATAAATACTCTAACAAAGATAAGTTTTGTTTTGACCACAAAAAAAAGGGCCACCGGATCTTCCGTCACACGTTGCTCAACCCCTCCTTCCAACCTCAATAACATCAAGAAGACATTCTACAAGAAATTTTTGGTGCAAGTTAACAGGTATTTTCGTAAGTATTTTGAAGTATTTCTTTCAACTTATGCTGTCTTCTGCTATTAAGTCTAAGGGGAAACGTAAATATAAAATTGTATATTGGATATTAGAGAACATTTCTGCTCTAAGTTGTAACCTTGAGGCATAATAAGGGTAAGCCTGACTTAATTCCAATGAGTCACCGTAACGACAATGTAGGGCTTCTGTTGTCATTTTTACCACTGATCAGTTCTACTTATACACACAATTTAACTTAGGCCTAGTTTTTCCATAAAATCTTTATTCCTTGGCCTTTACTGAAGTTAGGCTACGGTACAAGTCAAAATTGCAAACATCAGTCTTAGCTTGACAGATGTAAGCTAGGCCTAGGCCTAGTCAACTTCAAATGCATTCACTTAATTTGGTATTATGTAAAATTAAATATCGATATTAAAAATTGCTTGTCCCTTTTTAAGTCATTATTAGGTCATGCTTCCTTGCTTTGTAATTGGATTAAAATCTGCCTAGGCTAATTTGGTAGCTAAATTCACAGTAGGGCCTAAGTTAGGCTATGACATTAAAATTGACTGCCATGAGAATAGATTAGGTTTAACTTAGAAGTCTACAGGTTTCCACAAACATGTCATAAGGTATAGGCCTAATAATTTTCAAGATAGGCTATAACTTAAAATCTTTGTTTTCTTTTGTGAGACACTTAAGTTTTTTCAATTAAAAACTTTAACTTATAAACCTTAGTTAGCCAAGCATTTCCACATTCTGCATGAAAAACTGTGCAAGTAGACACATATTAGTTAACCCTTGATCTGGCGTTGGTCCCTAGGGGACCAGAAAATGTTGAGTTCTCAGTGGCGGTGGTCCGCTAGGGACCAGAACGACATAGATTGGAACTTTCTATTTTTATAATACGGTACTGAAACAGTTTAAAACCGAAATGAATCTTATACCATTAGAAAGATGAGATTCTGAGGATTAATTTGCATGTATAAAACATCATTGAGCGAGAATTATGTAGCGAAAAAACAGTTTGAAAAACTAGAGTGTTCAAAATTTATTTTGGCGGTGGAAAGTTTTAGTCGCATGGCAACAAAAACAGCTGTTTTTTTAGGAGTAGGGTAGAAGGGGGGAATTGGGTATTAGGGGTAATTGGGTATGAACTTTTTTGAAATTTTTTAAAAAATACATGCCTTTTATTAGAAAGAATTAAAAAATCTGTAGTGATAGCTAGTTATGTTTTATAAACCTCAAATTTATTTTAGATAGTTATCTTGAAATTGAAACGAGTTAAAAAATAATTTGTTCACCCCTTACGTTTTTCAATTTTTAAAGTGCCTATCAAACTTGGCCCGAGTAACCTTGGAAACACTATAAAAATTTCAGTTACTGTAAAATATTTACTTTTATCTCATAAGAGCAAAGTATATACATACTAATAGTAATTTTCTGAAGTTTAGGAATTTTTAAATTGACTTTTAAGTGTATTTTTTAGGGGTTGAAAATGTTAGTACCCAATTGCCCCCTCATGGGAAAATGGGTACTATATTTTTTTTGCCTGATAACAATACATCTGTTTTTTTTTAGTTAGAATATGCTTTTAGGGGGTACCTAGTTAAGAATTGCTTTAGGTTGGTATGACTTCTGTACATTGAATATTAAAGAAATTATGGCTTAGTACCCAATTCCCCCGTCACATCGGCTTAGAGGCAGAAGACCATAAGAGTTTTTCAGTTTTGTCTTCTTATAACTTTTTTTTGTAATAAGTTAGAATAATCCAACTTGTTTTATGTTTAAGTATGTCTAAGAAGCTACAATTAATACAATTTTTATAACCCTAGGTTATAAGGATTTATTACAAAGAAATATCTTTGAAAAACTGTAAAGTTTTCAAAAATTAACTTTAACGCTTTATAAAATTGGCAAAAATAATGATAAGAGACTAAAACTTGTCTTAAAATGCTTATTTGTGTTTTCTTAATAACACCCATTTTCCCAGAATTTTTAATAGGTCATTTTAATGTATAATAGGTATAGGGTCAACCGGGGCTAATATGAACACACCAAAATATTGGGGCTAATATGAACAATGACTTAAAAAGTCATTTATCTGGGATTTTTAATCATGAAAAAAATATAATTAGAAAGGAAATTTATTGTATTTTTTGTGTCCATAATGAGAAAACTTCAAATTTGACTTTTAGGTACTTTAAAAAAATACTTTGTTAAAACACTTTTTTTCCGCCCAAAAAACTTTTCCGCGCAAAGTGAAAACTTTTGTTATAACAATTTTTACATTGGTTGTAGGAATAATCTTAAGCCTGAATTTTGTTAAATAAGAATTGGGGATTATTTTTCTTTTCCCAAAGTTAAAATATATTAATAACAGCCAAAGTTATAAGCTTTCAAAGTTGGGGGGCTAATGTGAACAGTGAATGGGGGCTATTGTGAACAGTGACATCACGAGTGAAGAATGGATTAAAATTACCACCGAGCAGATTAAAAATGATGCAAAAAACAACAAACCAAAAGGAACTGGGCCTAAAAACGTTGACCTAAAGCGGAAGAAAGCAGCACAAGAAAATAGGCCTACTAAACCTAGATGCAAAGGGTTAAAATTTGTTAAAGAATACAAAAGAATTAGGCCTAAATTCCGCATTGAGAGCAGTGACAGTGAGGACAGTCTAGGAGTAGCAGATTTGAACGACATAATTCAACCCTCAGAATTAGATTATCAAGATCTAGACAGCCCAGAAAATCTAAAGGTTGGTGACTTCATTTTAGTAAAATGCAAAGGTGGATCCCGCCAAAGTACCACCTTCCGCTATGTCGCTACAGTGTTAAAAAAGTTTACGTCACTGTTATTAATTGTTGTCATTTTTTCTCTTTTTTTTGTCTTGTCTGTCAAATATATTTATATTTTTGCTTGTTATTGTTATTATATTGAAATATTTATCAATTGTTATCTAGTTTTGGTAATCGTATTTTTCTCTAAAAATGTTTATGCTTGTTAACTAGGATTTATAATACGCATGATCCAATTTTTGTTAAAGCATTTTTGGACAATTCTGTTGGTGTCATTTTTTCATGTTAGCAATCTTTTTTTTTCAGCAAGATGAATCTGAATCTGACTTATATATATTTATAAATATTTTATTGTATTGCCCTCATGTATTATCGATTGTAAAAATGGTGTTTACCGTATGATAAATAAATAAATAAATAAATAAATAAAAACACTGGCTGACGGGGAGATCGAAGTGATGGGATTTAAATTCTGTGATGAGGAAAAAAAATCATTCCTGAAAAAAGAAGATGATATATTTATTGTTTCTACCACTGACATTTTGGGGAAACTTCCAGCCCCTAATGTATGTGGAACCAGTGATAGACATAAGTATGTCTTCGACAAAATTGTCGAAGTTTTTGAGGCGTAAGTTCCTCAATAAACTTCTTTGAAGGCCTTACAGTGATAAAACAGTTTTAATTTTACAAAGACAACAGTTAAGGTGTTGAATAGGCCTAGCCCACATTTTTATATTTACCTAATAGGCCTAAAAGTGCAATAAACTGTCATTTGCCTAAACGAACAATTTGCATTGTCTTAAATTATAGTTTTTTTAAGTGCTTTAAACAATTTGTATGTGGAAGAAATTTTTTTATAAATACTCAGGTATGTTGACAGATAATTTTTTTCTTGTTTATATCTTATTATTAGCCCTGTATAATATTTATAAATGGTTTTAAAAAAAAGGGTTACCGTAGGGCGACCCGCGGCTCTCCAAAGATACCTTCATATCTCAAAAACTATTTAAGATAAAATATTGAGACTTATTGCAACTGGTAGACTAGACCCTAGGCTTGTTCACAACAGCCCCCACATATGCCTAGTGTTGTAAATAACAGAGTTATTAAGAGTGTTCACATTAGCCCCATGGGCTGTTCACATTAGCCCCTTTTAGCGGGGCTAATGTGAACAGTGGTTTTTAATTTTTTTTTAAATAATGGTTACATTTATGGTTTTTGTTAGTAAATAAATAGATTCAGCTAAAAAAAACTGTATACACTACTATTTTTTCTTTTCTTCTGTCATTTACCATTTTTGAGTTAATGTCAAAAGTTTACTTTTTTTGTTCATATTAGCCCCGGTTGACCCTAGTACCCAATTCCCCCCTTTGGGGTAATTTGGAATGAAAAATATATATATATTTTTTTAATAGAACAAAACAACTTGCAGGTCTGAAAATAAGTGAAAAGATGTCTATTGGAAGCCTTTAAATGAAGGCATAAAAGTTGTAAAGTGATGCAATTTGTTTTAGCATACAAAGTACATTTTACAAAACCTAGTACCCAATTCCCCCCTTCTACCCATTTAAAAACATTGATATTTCTACATAGGGAACCATATTCCACACAACATTTACATTTAGATCAAATGTCTAAAAAAATTATTTGTTGGCTTTCTTGTGGGTTGCTTTTGAAATTAATAATTTGCATAATCCGAAAATTTCCAAACCACTAAGGGTAGCCACTACGCCTAAACGCATTGCTAGAAAATTTCTTTTTTATACCATTACATTCTACATTTATCACTGAAACAGAACATACGTAAATGTTTGTGAGCTTATATTTACAAATATCTGCTCTGTGGCAAAATATACGGTACCACTACAAAAGGCCAAAATACACCACCCGCCACTTAGGACTAAAATGACAGCCAGATCTAGGGTTAAGGGCCTAGGCTATTTATTCATCGGTCAAACTAAAATTACACTTTTTAGTTAATACAGTTAACTTAAGTTATGTAGGCCGTACTTAAGCGTGTTAGTTTAGCCAAGGCATAGTTTAACCGATGAATAAAATAAGGCCCAGCGCACACAGTGTGACTTGTTTTACAACAAGTGTTGCAAACCAGTTGCCTCTGTAACCAGTTTGCAACTGAAACAAAGCTTCTGTCCACACGATGTGACTGTTTTACAACTACAGTTGTTCTATCGTGCAATCAGTGGAGTGTCAATTTAGTAA